GCCGCGCGCGAAAGAGAAAGAGAGAACTTTCGCAATCATCTCGCAACGATTCGGCGCACGATTGCGCACGGATCCTTTGCAACTTGGATTATTCTCGCTATTTCGTGCGACTGTTCAGTTGCCATGAAATTCTGCGTCGAGTCTGGCGTAAAGGGTTAATTTTCTATCGCATGTCTCGGAGTACGGAAAGGCTCGAGAGGGACAAGGCAGAGCAAGTGCATCAATTTCCTTTTCAGAAGTGAATGCAACGTTCTGCACGTATTTCGCAATTTAAAATTAGTTTCTCGTGTTTAAGATTTCAGAAATAAATGCAACATTCTGCGCACATTTCGTAATTTAAAATTAATTTCTCCCGTTTAAGATTTTTCGTTTTAAAAGTAAGTTCAGAAGATATAATAAAATAAGAGCCAAGTTATGTGTGAAACAAAAATAAAATTCTTGCTAATAATAAAAATCGTACAATGCATAAAGCATAATGACAACAAATTTGAAACAAACCGTCAATATAAAATATGAAATGAGATGTACGATCAAATAAGAATCACAAAAGTCAAATATTAAAATAATAAAATCGGTCATGTCGAAAAATCGTGAAATCTAAATAAAGTTTCGTCGAATATATGATTTGTCCAAATCGAATATAACCGGGATTGAATTTAGCAATACTATATATAAAACAAATAAAACAAATACACCTCAACAATAAAAAAATATTCGACGAAAATTTTTTATGTAACTGATAATTAATTTCATCATTTTAATATTAAACTTTTATAATTTTTCATCAATTAATTATGCATCTCATTTCATATGACGGTTTGCTTCACTTTTGTATCATTACATTAAACATTTCATCATCATACTTCATACTTTGTGCAATTTTATTATTAACAAAAATTTTATGTATTGTGCAAATTTTATTATTAACAAAAATTATATGTGTTGAAGATAACATAAAAAGAGAATTAAAATGTTTATATTTTCAACTAAGTAAGAGAAGCACCAGTAGCTCAAAAATAGATCAAAAATAGACATTGGAATAATATTTCTATATGTACTTTAAATACATTTATCTCAGATATGTGACTGCGCGCCGATTACTTTCCATATCTGAGATAAATGTATTTAAAATACGTATAGAAATATTATTTTAACATCTAACTTTGATCGTGATTGGCTGCTCTTACTTACAGATGATGTATTCATATAAAAGTTGTGTCACCATTGCTATTTTGATATTTAATAGTGAAGGCAATGCATACACCATATTATGTATTATATATAATGGCTAATAAAAATTTATATTCACTCTGAATAAAACAATCAGGAAGCTATAAACAGATTTATAAATTTTGAATGTTAAATTCCGATGTATCAAGCTGATTTAAAACCAAATTACACAGCGATATTCACAAACTTGTTAGATTGGTATAACATACGACAACTTTTCAGATGTGTTAAATGTTGTAAGAAATTCTCGGATCTCTCTATTCTATAACCAATCAATAAAAAACTTGAAAAACTTGTACGACAAATATAATGCAAGTCTTAAGTTGCACCAGCAAACTTGCTACTACAAAGTATCTGATTACGACGATGATTCATATTTTTATCTGTGACTCACTTTCAGTTCACATTCACAGTGATATTTCTTAACGTAGTTAACATCCTCGAAATTCCGATGATAATAACAGTTCATGCATCGTGTTTTTCCTTCTAGTATAATAAAACGTTCAAAAAAAGAGACCTACACTAACATTTTGTATAGCGAAAATATATCTATAATAAAAAATGTAAAAAAATAAACAATCATACAGTAATAGCTGCGAAAACACTTATATATCATCCAACACATGCTCAATATTAATATTATCATGAGAAAAATATTTTTTATCTTTTTATCAAATGGTTTAAACAAGTAAAAACAGTATACGTATATTGACTTCAAAAACGGGAACGGATAAATTTTCACGTTATCGTCGATTCGACATAACAATGGAAATCGAGTTGCGTCGGTTATGTAAATACTACATGCAAATACTGAACCATCCGAATATTCTTTTGTAATATTCAATTTTCAATAATACATAGGGTAACTCCGGCAAATACGCCGCGCTGGGATTTACGCCGCAGAGAAGTTAGAAAAAATAGAAGGAGTAGGGGTAATTTTTCCGCAACTATACCCTATTACATGCCTTTATATTACATTAGTTGTGTTATGATTCCAGTGTCTTACTGTTAATATTAATAAAATTTTTGTGAATTGAATCACTTTGTCAGTGTTAAGTAGCGACATCATAAATTATAATATACATAAAATGATTACTGTAGAGGGTAAAAGACTTAGTGGTTATTTCGTGATACATACGTGTAGTGGAATAATAAAGCATGTATTGTATAGCAAAATACAAGTGGTTTGCTTTCTTTATTTAGTTTATTGTCTTGTATATCCCACCTGTTTTTGGGATATACAGCATTTTTGGCGAGCGGGATTTATGCCCAAAATGTACAAAGTGCGCAGATTGAATTCAGTGCACTAAATGCAATAAATGCATTATATGAAATGACATGGCACTTGCAATATATGCAGGAAGATTGTATAATTATTACTTATTACTCTTCATACACATATTTACCATTCTTAATAAAACTTTATAAACACATTTTATAAGTTATTGTGTCATTTTACGTCTTATTTCTGTACATTATTATTTGTAAATTTTCATGAGCCATACATACCCCCTCCCCCCTCCCTCTATAAATAGCCATATATC